CCCCCCCCCCCCAGAGAAAGGCCCGGCTGAGGGAGCAGCCAGCGTGGCCACCCGAGAGCCAGGGGACAGTCCTGCTCACCTGCACAATTGACCACGCAGGGCGTCTGGATGGAGCCGTGCTCTGTCTCCACGGCTGCGACCCGCCGCACCCCGAAGTCATCGGTCCGCACACGGATGCCGGTCACGGGGCAGTTCTCGATGATCTGGGGGCGAGAGGGGCTGCTTCCAGAGCCATGCAGGGCTCCCCGAGGGTGCTGATCACCCCTGATGTCCCCCCGCCTCGCCTGGACGGGACCTGGGGCACCATCGGGGAAGTGGGGAGACCATGGCGCTGGAAACTAGCCCCAGGAGCTCCTTGACTTAGGGAACTTGATCCCAGACCCGGGGCTCTTTCTCACAAAGTGGCTTTTAAAAAGCAAGGCTCGAGTCGCTAACGGGTGTCTGTGGTCTAGTCCTTCGGTAAAAAGGTCACCGATCAGTGTGGCTTGCTTCCACGTTGTATACAAGTGTATCTTCCTAAACACGTATTTGGGGTCAAACTAAAATCTCAACATTTTTTCCCTCTGGGTGATTTTCATTTCTTCTCTTTTGCTTTTCTGTCCTTTCCAATAAGTTCTACAACTCTGTGTTTATCTCATAAAAGACGAGAAACACAAGAAGAGATCCGGAGAGGACTCCCTTGTCTAGCACGGCCAGAGCCTCGGGGAAGGAAGGAAGGCTGACATCCCCCGAGGCACCGCCCACCTTTGCAGGGGCAGATCAAAAGTCTCAGAGAGGCTGTCCCCGGCCCAAGGTCACACAGCAGAGAGAATGGCACCTGTTTCCTTTCCTTGGGCTCTTGGGGTTCCTGGGGCCAGGAGCGGGGGGCACAGGGCCAGGCGGCCTTTGGTACCTGGGCTCCCCGGGCAGCAGCAGCCCTGGTGAGGGCGGTACACGTGCCGGCCGGGTCCATCGTACCGTCATGCGGCACATACAGGGTCCCATACAGGTCGTCCACGTTCATCAGCGGGTACAGTGCCTTCGTCTCGGCCGGGCTTAGCACGTGGGACTCCACGCCATACGCCTTGCCCAACTAGAGGGACCCAAAGGCAGGTAAGTCAGTCCTCGGGGAGCATAGATATCCTCTGGGCCTCCGAGCTGCAGCTCCAACCTTGCCTCCTCCAGGAAGTTCCCCTGGGGACATGGGGTGATAATGGCTTATGTGGTTGACACCCCTAACGGGCTCAGACCAGTCTCTGGTGAGGAAGGGGCTTCTTACAGAAACAAACATTTTGGGCTTGAGGACCAGATTCCCCGGTCGGACCAGCTCCCAGGAGGCCAACCCGATCCTGGGTCCCAGGTCCCTGGCTTAGCAGGACTGGCCACACCGGCACATTTGATTGGCCCCCGGGCAGCCAATCAAGTGTCCCCAGGTATCACAAGGGGACAGGCCCCACCCAACTAGAAAGAAGCTGAGCCAATTGGGTTCTCTGTCTCAGAATGAAAGTGGCTGAGGCTTCAGGGAGCTGCTGGGAACTTGGGCTAGAAGGTTGGGGCTGGGGCTGGGGCTTTCTTTGGAGGCCTCGGTCCCAGCTGAGGAGCGAGCCCAGGGGCAGGATGAGGCCGAATGGGGCCAGCGCCTCTGCCCAGGAACCCACACCTGCCCTGGTGAAGCCAGCTGCCCCTGCCTGCAGCCTGGGGTCCCAGGGGACTCAGCATCCCTGTGACAATGAGCCCCTGCTGGCCACACTGCTCACTGCGCCCTGAGCGGGCATTCGGTCGGTGCTCTATAAGGGGACAGATGGCGGGAGAAGCCGGCCTCACCCATGTCCCCACCTCAATACGAGGCTCTTCAGCAGCATAAAGCTTTCTCTTTGTCGGGGACGCCTCCTGGTGAATGCGACCTCCTACTGATCCTGCCTCCCCTGAGCACAGCCCGGTGACGGTAACAGCTCCACTGTGGGGCCTCCCCTGTGTCCGGGGCTCGGCGACCGTGCTCCACAACACGGTCCCATTTTGAAGGCGAGCATGCCAAGGCTCGCCTGTCCCAGGTGGCCCGCCAGCAAGGGCTTCTTCCCTGAGCCATGCTGTCCCGTTCCCCCCCCCCCC